TCGTTTAACACCTGGATTATGAACTTAAATAAGATTAATAATTTTATTTTTTATTTAATTATAAAATTATAAAAATAGGTATTGACATGATAGACGGTAAATAAAATTATGAAGGGAAAATGTATGTTTTTTTTATTTAAAATTGTTATTTTTAACTCATGTAACTTTTCTTTATTCCGACAATAATAAAGTTTTTGTTTTCTTAACAAAATAGATCATTAAATAGCAAGAAATAACAAAAAAAAAGAGATTATTTAGCAAAACTTTAATGTTTTCAACAACAAAGGAAAAAAATAAATTAATTAAGAACCTAATTTTTGCATTATCACTTTTTTTTATTAAAAAACATGTTTTTTTACTCAAACATTGTATTTTAAGCATATACTTATTACTATTATGATCATGAAAATTTAAAATTTGAGAATGGATATTTTTTAAAAACTAAATTAAAAAAATACTAAAACAATAAATTTGAGAAAATAAAACAACACTTTAAAATAAATAAAAAAAACTAAGAAAGTAGGTATGTTATTCATATCCAACATCTACATGCAAATCATTTAAAAAACGTTGCATATCAAGGTAGGACATAATTATTATCACCATAGAAAAGCTCTATTTTTTAAAATATTGATGAAATTATTTTTATAAGCAAATTTTTTTTTGAATAAAAGGTGGTGATAGTTAAAAAAAATTTATTAAAAATCTCAATCATTTGAAATGAGGAAAAATTATTCTTTCAATCCTAACTCCATTACCTTATTAATAATTTTATTACTATTAAAAAATTAAAATTTATTTTTTTTATATAAAAAACTATCATGATTCCTAAAAAAAAATCTTAATAAAAAAATAAAATAATATCTTAGTATTTTATTACAGGGCATCTCAATAAAAAAAAATCATAGAAATAGCCTCTTAGACCTAAAGAATTGGGCCGCAGTATTGGCCCGAGGAAGAGAAGCCCAGGCGAGCACAGCGCCATGCCTTCTGGATTTTTATAATTAAGGGCAATTCTATTATATTTTAAGTGTGCAAGTGTCATTCGGCTGACACGTTCAGAACCGAGTTTAAAATGGGAATAAATCTTGACCGCAGAGCTTGAAAATAAATAGTTAATCTCGGCTATTGATCTACTGGTCTATAGTTGAAAGTGTCTTTAAAATAAGAATAAATCGTGACCGTAGTTGCTGAAAATAAAATCAATCCCAGCCATTGATCTACCAGTCGTTAGTTATAAATAAATATCCTCTCTTTCTCCAATTCCTTAAAAATTAAAAATTTTAAAATTAAATTTAATATAATCAGTAAATAACATTATATTTCTAAAATTTTCATAAGTTTTAAAAAGTGTTTTTCTTTTAAAATTAAAAAAAAAATATTTTTAAAAAAATCAAATTAATTTTTTTTTAAAATAAAAAATATTTTTATTAATCAGTTTTGTTGAAGAACAAATAAATATAAAATTTTTTGAAAAATTAATTTTAAAAAATTACTTTTCAAGAAAGCCTAATATTTAGTTGTCTTTCCCTCGTTTTATCAACAAATATGCGTTCCCTTTTGGAGGGCTAGTCCATTTCTATCACTGAATTGATTGCAAAATGTTGTGGATTTGAAATGATTTGTGTGTTCGGAAGGCGAAAGGACCAAACATGCTTGTCAGGGATTTCTCTTAATTCTGCGGTGCAGAATACAACAACACTTCAAGCATTCAATTTCTTCGCTGTCATTGTCTGTGTTGTATAATTTTTAATTAGGAACATCATTGTATATTTATATATTTTGTGGATATGGTGGGTGCCGATGGAACTCATAGATGGAAGCTGTACTCCAGATTTTGGATTGGAAACAGCCGGTGTGGTGCAAGAAAATGCCAACTTCAAGGAAATAATTTTATCCTCTGGAAGTAGGTATTGGATAGAGATGGCAATGAATTTGCAACATTTATTTTAGCGGATACACACTCACATTATTGATTCTATAGAATAGTAGTGAATATATGCATATATATTTCCTATCAGGAAAAAAAAAAAAGTGGCTTGACAGGATTTTTGGATTCTAGAGTCAATGATGAATGTGTAAGTGAGGGGGAGAGTAATAATTTCATGTTTCTGGTGGCAGCTAGGTGGCTAAGCACGAGCAGCGGTGATGTTACGGAACATCTGAGTTGCTTGAGTTTCATTGTGGTACTGTGTCAAGGATTAAAAAGGAGAGCTGAGTTCTTTTTTCTTTATTGAACTTTGGCGCCAATTTTGGTTTCTTGTTATTTTTGTTAACAAAGAAAACAATGGAGGTAATCAGCAAGCAGATTTATTTTTCTTCTTATCAGACACACATTTGTAAAGAAATTGAAACTATCAAATGATAACTCTTAAGAGAGTTGATTGAATGGAACAAGTGTTGTGTTGAGTCTACGTTAGGTGGAACATTTCTTAATTTCTTGTGTCTATTGCAAATCCCAATTCGAGAATAAAATTATCTCAAAAGAGATTGAGGAAGAGAAGAGACAAACATGAATATATATATATATGCATTTATGTGGGTGCTAATTATGCGTATGGGTGTAGAGATACACAAAAGAGTTGAAAAAACAAATAGCAAAATCACAGCATTAAGTAATTTGCAATTTATATCAAAGAATATATTACGTATTTAGATTGAGTTGTTTGCATCATTATTTGATTCCTCTAAGCAAGATATATAAAATGAACTCCAGCTTTGATACATGGGCTGGAGATACATAATTAACCTGGTGCGTTGAGATTTAATGAAATGAGAGTCAGGAAGCTTACGAAACAATTACGGTTTCGGCTTCTTAATTTGAAGACCCGGATGTATTTCCATGCCCAGGAAGAGAGACGACAAAGTAGCTGTGCCATAGAAGCCAGAGCTCGGCTGTCTAACTACTTGAACACTGAATGCGAAATGACAAGCGTCCACTCTTGTCAGATTGCAACTTCCATACTGCATTGTCCCCTAATAATGCAGACAAGCTTTCCATGCGACAAGAAAAGGCAGGGCCCATCTTCAGTTTTATAGTTACCATGCACGTAAGAACTTTAACTAACCAGTGGCACAGTACTGAAAACCAACGCTATCCCCTATCTTGTCTGCCTCGAATTGTTTGCTACTTGCAACATAATGAAAACGAGAACTCCATCAAATGAATGGAGGTGAAGAAAGATTTTGAATTGGTGCTTGTTTTCATCTCCCTGATAAAAAGATTCTGAATTCGTCCTTCAATCTTATATTGCAAGCCTTTCAACATCGTGAAACTGTTTCTAGATCTCTACCTTGCAAAAGCTTTACATAGTCAAGAGTCACTACCACAAAACTTTCTGCCTTTTATTATGCCCATATATAATCCTAGTAGATTAAGAAAAGAAGATAAATATTAATTATAACTCTTCAAATCACAGCAAGAGGTTTATGAAATTAAAACACTTTGAAAAATATCTCTCAAAACTTAGAAAACTCATTGAAATTTTTTTCAATTAGAGATAACGAGACGCTAATCAAAATCTCAATAATTATTGTTTTGATTTTAATATTTAAACCTGTTTTTATTTTGATTGAGTTCAATTTTCATATATATATATATATATATATATATATCCTCTAAACATGATATATCTACTAAGAAAAGGATTCAGATTTCTTTTTTCTTTTTAATTCTACCATACGCAGTAAGTTACTAGCTAGTTTTAAATTTGAACTAAAATAGAAATAGAAAAAAAAGTGGTTTTTTTTTCTAGGGTGTGTTAAAAGTTATTTTTTAAAGTATTTTTTGTTTAAAAATATATTAAAATAATATTTTTTTTATTTTTAAAAATTTATTTTCAACATCATAACAGTTTTTAAAAACTCAAAAAATAATTTAAACCTGAAAATACATGTTGACAGACATGTTTGCGATTTTATATTAAAAAAAGATAAATAAAATAATTATTTATATATATTGTCTTCAACAAAAGTACCAGAGAGTTAATTCTAGAGAAGAGAAAAAAATAAAAAATAAAAAACCCGATAGTGACGGGTCAAAATGATTGCACAGGCGAACTTGTTGGATGCCACTCTGGAAAGCCAGCCAGTGATTGGATGGGATCAAGCTTTTAGTTTCAAAGTGGGTCCCAGAACACCGCCATCATTCCCACATCCAATATGTTTTAGTTTTTTTCAAATAAATAATCAATTAATTTTATATTTAAACTTTTTTATAAAAAAAATCAGTTTTTTTATGTTATCAAGCTCTCCCTCGTTATTTCACAGCTATAACCCCAATAATAAAATTAATTTGAACTTTCATTGAAACAATCATTGTTTTCATTAAAAAAAAATCCAACAATATTCTCCTCTCAAAATTGCACTTTAACTTCATTTTCTAATCTTATGTACAATTCTTATCTCATAAATCTTTCTAGAAACCAGTTTTATGATTCCTAGACTCAGATATCACAATTTGTTTTTGTATTTATAAATCCATAATTTGATAATGTTATATATTTAAGATATACAGAACCTTTCTTGGAATAATATATAATCTATTATCTCTTTTTAACATAATATCCTTATTTTATTGAGGTAATAAATTTTCCTTAAGCTTTTAGATTTTTTTCATGAAAAAAGAAAAAAATAATTGATTATTAATTTTTTCAGGGTAATTTGGGAAATGTATAAGAAATTAAACTTTTATGGAATAAAAAGTTTGAGGATGAAAGTTTTTCATTAAAATATATTTCATGAAAAAAGAAATAAATTTATTGATAGATTTTTATATATTGTCAAGAATTAAATTATAAGACGAGACCCTAAAATAATAATTTTATAATATGAATGCTTTAACATGTTTATATATAAAAGTATAAAAACAAACAAGAACCATACAAAGAATTATTAATAATTCGCTATATGTTAAATTGTGATTTGTTTTGGGGAGATTTGCATGTTTGTATAACTTCAATTTTATATTCAAATGCCCCCACTTGAATTAAGCTTATAAGTCTACGGAGGAAAGGTTCCATGCCTTCAACCAAAGCATACACTCTATTTCTCTCCCCTTTGTTCTCACCTTCGCTCCCAGTACTGCATGCCATGTCTGGTCTTATGCTTCTGACCCTCATACCCACTGTTCTTTTAGGTTTCACTGCTTTTCTCTCTGCAGCTGAGCTTCAGCGTTTCGAACATGCTGCCAAAGCCGATGGATCTCTAAGCTTTCTGGTTGTTGGAGACTGGGGAAGAAGAGGAGCATATAACCAGACCGAAGTTGCTCTTCAGGTCACAATTACATACAATCACCTCTTCTTACATATTTATGCATCCAGTATCATACAAGTAGATATATAGAAAATGATGAATTCACGTCACCCTTATAGTTCATTATCTAACGTGTTCTTTTATATGGTCTTTTCTCAGAAACATCAATATTGCTTCTTTTCTTCTTCTTCTTCTTCTTCTTTTTTAGCAGATGCATGCAAAAATCAATGCTTTGATTATTTTAAAAAGATTGACCGACGTCGATGAACAACCTTATAAGAGTGTCATTTTTTATCTTGTAATTTTTAATCGGGAGATTCTAGTCTTATAACACATCATATCAGCATATATCACATCGATCCTCCTCTCATTTCGACCATAGTATTAGTAATATCAACTGTGTTTTCAGAAAGAGCATCAAGAGAGCAGTAATAGAAGAATAATAATTAATAAAAGCACCCTAGTTAGAGTAAACAAATATATATAAAGCTAGTGATGAACTGGTGCATGACCTTTCTAGGGGGAATTCTTCCGAGCCTTGGTACCGAAACCAAAACGTTTCCGTTAGGATATTCCCTCGGCAATTTTTTAAGGGCGTCCCTCCAATTAAAGGACGACGCATTGTCGTCAATGACCTCTTGCTATTGTTCTCTTACCTCTTCCTTGGAGTATTATTCCTTGAGGATTCCATATACCATCCCACTAGATGACATAACAGATGAGCAAGCTTCCAATATATATATATATATACGCGCGCGCGCGCTTGATTTTGCCTGGGTTCGCTATACTTACAAGCGCAAAGTGCGACTGAGATTGACAGTTTTTAGTCTCATACATGCTTTTAAGACCCCTCTCGGTTTAAAACCCGAGTTTCAGATTTTACCTTGTTTTTTTAAATTAATTTTTTTAATAAAAACAATATTATTTAAGTAAAAATAAAACATAAAAGTTAATAGATTATAATTAAATTTTTTATCTAGTTTTATCGAGGTCACCAAGTCAACTGGATCACATTAAGTTTCTTTATTTTTATTTTTTTCAACTCAATCCGGTTCCAACTCTGAGTCAATTAGGTTTCGAGTCAATCTACTAAACTAGATTTTAAAACTATAATTTTATTTAGATAGACAGCATGTGTTATGTGATAAGCAAAACCAAATTTTATTTAGTACTAAAAAAGAAATATTTAAGTGATGATAATCTGCAATAGTTTAAATTAAATTAATTATAAGATGGTTTAGGATATGAAACTAGAAGAATTTGTAAAAATATAAACAAAAAAAAATGTAATGTTTAATGTCTACTAATCTAATGTTAAAGATGAAAACATAAATTTTAAAAAATATAAAGCTAAAGAAGAAAACTTGAATCAATTCTAAATAACTTAAAGAACCAATAACTTATGACATAAGATCGGGATAAAAAAAAAACAAAAAAGATGACCTAGTAGAAAAAAATAAAAGTTCAATAAAAAAACATTTAAAAAAATTTAAACCAATCTAAATTAACTTTACGAACTTGCTCTCGGATTAACAAAATAGTATGAAAAGTTAAAAAAATTACAAATCTTAATAGTAAATAATTTAATGTGAAATGATTGTTAAAAAAAATCATAAAAAATCAAAAAAAAAAATCAAAATTGACTCAAGTTAACTCAACTAACTCGCTATATGTGACATAGGATAAGGATAAAAAAAAAAAAAAAAAAACCTCCAAATAAAGAGCCTACCAAAAAAAGACCAAAGTAAAATAACAAAACATTGTTAGCAAAAATGTACGTTGACTTGGTTATCTTGACTAACCCGCTTTAGAAATAATAAAATAAAAAAACAAGTGAAAAAATAACTAAATTTAAGGGTAAATAATTTAATATAAAATTATTAAATTGAAAAAAATTGAGGAAAAAATATTAAAATTAATCTAAGTTAACTCGATTAATCCATTACTAGCAGCTTAAGACCAAGATAAAAAAAAATTAAACTTACAAAAAAAAATATAAAGGGTCTATGTAAATTTGGTTAGCATAAATGTAGACGACATCGACAATGCAACTTTACAAACTCCATAATTTAAATTGTAAGGAAGGAAATAAGTATTGCTAAATAATTTGTTTTTATGAAAAATATAGTAAAATGTAAGGGTTCTATTCAAGTGTTTATTTATTTTTAAATTATATTTTAAAATATAATATATTATATTATATTTTTTATTTTAAATTATTTTTTAATTTTTTAAGATTATTTTGATATAGTATATTAAAAATAAATTTTAAAAAATAACCATTATAAAAAATGCAACCATAACTCTAAATCTGGTTGTTCTGATTGCTTGGCCTTATGGTAAGATACTTTGAACATATCTTTTGCTTGCCTAGTTCAAACTCTTTATTGATTGTGCTGTCATCTCTTATAAATGTCCAAGATAATATTAGAAAAAATGTATTCGATATCTATTATATTATATTATATGAAATCCCCCATCAAATCATTTCAGTTAATTTATTCATTTAGCAATCACCTTTTGTTATCTTCAGATGGGAATAATGGGAGAGAAATTGGACATTGATTTTATAATCTCAACTGGAGATAATTTCTACGAAGGTGGATTAAACGGCGTGGATGATCCAGCTTTTTATGAGTCATTTACGAGAATTTATACAGCTCCTGGCCTGCAAAAGCAATGGTACAATGGTAAATATCTCTAGATATCGACTATAATTTAGTGAATAATAGCGTGTTAGTAGCAGTCAAGTTCAGCAAGACTAAACTCCTCAGCTCTGTCCGCAAGCTTTGATGACGTTCTACTCCTCTGAAGCCTCATCACCCTTGAGCTCTGGCGCCTTATAGCTGAAGATCTCGGATTTAAACAACTATTGTTTTCATTGAATAGTAGAAATGATAAAGGTTAAACCGTAATTTCTGCTCTGCTGTATTTTACGCTGCAGTTCTGGGAAACCATGACTACAGGGGTGATGTCGAGGCACAATTGAGTCCAGTCCTTAGAGAAATGGATAGCAAATGGCTTTGCCTCAGGTCATTTATCGTCAACACCGGTAAATCTCTCCCTTCTATCTTCCATTTTTCAGGAATTAAAACTCACATTATAATCTTAACAATTTTAAAAACTTCTTGCTGCAGAAATAGCTGAGTTTTTCTTCGTGGACACAACTCCTTTCGTCAACAAGTACTTCCTCGAGCCAGGGGACCATGTGTATGATTGGAGTGGCATATTACCGAGGAAGAGTTACCTTTCAAATCTCTTGGAGGTAACAATTCGAGCAATCAATTAGCTGCATGATTAACAAAATAATAACTGTTTGGGAAAATATTTAATCGTGTCGTAGGATTTGGACATGGCACTGAAAGAATCCGTTGCAGAATGGAAAATTGTAGTTGGTCATCATACTATTAAGAGTGCCGGACAACATGGTAACACCGTCGAGCTCAATTTACAACTCCTCCCGATCCTCCAGGTAATCACTTACATAAATTAAATTAAACGTGTTAATCTATGCGAACAATTCGATAGCTTTTCTTTGAGCAAACTGAAGTTAACTAGTCAAGTGATAACTTTTATTGAGCATCGATTCTTTTAATTTTCAGGCAAATAATGTTGATCTTTATATAAACGGACATGACCACTGCTTGGAGCACATAAGCAGCAGTGAAAGGTAAATTCTTGATTAGTTTACATATATATATATATATATGGATATTTCCAGTGAATCTTGTGTTACAAAATAAAAAATTGTCGGCTTCTCAGTCCTAAATCTAACCAGGATTTAAACATAAGAAATAAAATTCTCAAATGGAAATACTAAAGTCGACAACCAGAACATTCCCTTAGAGAATGTGTAAAAGTGACTCACCGTACAGAAACAAGGAAAGGATACGGGAGTTAGGCATAAATGCGAAGCTGAAGCTTTAACTGAATGCTGCAGCCCGCTTCAATTCTTGACAAGTGGTGGTGGGTCAAAGGCATGGAGGGGCGACGTGGCCTGGTGGGATCCGAAGGAAATGAAGTTCTATTATGATGGGCAAGGTTTCATGTCGGTCCAAATTACTCAAACTGAAGTTGCTGTTGTGTTCTATGATGTTTCTGGCGAAGCTCTGCACAAATGGAGCAGGACTAAACAGATATCCTCTGCAGTCCTGTAGACAAGTTAATTTGTATCGATATGGAGTCTTTTCGTTTGTATCGTTGATGTCAAGATGTCTTTTCTTTCGACGTTGGATTCTATAATCCTCTGCAGAGCTGGGGACATGTTAGTTTTTATTCCTGTATTATGGATTTCAACTAGTAATTTTTAAAAAATTAAATTAAATTTAATTAATTAAATTATATTTTTTAAATTGAATATATTTAATCTAATTTTATGAATTTTAAAATTAAAAATTATATAAATTTTTTAAAACAACCTATTAAAGATATACTTAATATTTAATTTTAATGAAATTTAGTAATCACATAATCAAACCTAAGACCATAAAAAGAAAACTTTTTAATCTTAAATTTTTATTACTAGACAACCTATTAGAGATACACTTACCATTTAATTTTAATGAAGAATTTTACTTTTGTGATCTTAATTTTTTTGTCCCAATTTTTATGACTCCTTGTTGCAAAATTATCTTGGAAAATACCAAAAGCAGCACAAGGATTGAAGAAAGAAATAGAAAAAAAAAAATCAACTTGCCCTAAATTTTTGTAGTTTTGAAAGTGGGGCTTAATGCATGTTCTTACCACGTATCTTTCAAGCACTTGTGGCACCCTTGTGATTATCCATGTTATATTTTTTTTCTCCTGTAAAATATCAGACCAAGCAATTACACCTCAAATAAATCTATTGCAGCTCATCATCCCAACCCCATTACACTTAAAGAAATAATATAGACGTGCTTTATATAAAAGGACGCTAAAGGTTGGGATTTGCATGTTTTTAGAGTATTAATAATATGGCGAAAATGCCAGGATGGACTTGGGATCCATTACATGCAAGTAACAAAAACATGGACTTGGTGTGGTCGGAGCATTACCCAGCAAGAATGGAGTGCAAGGGCCGAAGTTGCAACTGCATCTCCACATAATACGGTAACTAGTAATTGACACAAAAATCATCATTATCCAAATGGCCCGGCTCAGCCAGCCTATCGTTAGCTATTGATTTTTGGGTTCAGGAGCACATTGGCATACGGCTCCCCAGGCGATGCATCTAATTCGAAGATACTAAAATTGTTTAAAATGGAGAGCAAAAGCTCTGCGGGGGCAGAAGATTGAAGTTGCTGTAGATGGAATAAAAACAAAACAATGTAGCATAGCTAACATGAAAATGCTAAAACCCGTTAAAGACTCTAAGAACATGCGGGGGGAACACTGTATATAATTCCGTGAGTTCTCCAGTATGGTAAGCTCATTAGTAATTCTTTATGTAATTTACAGGTATGGTCTTCCAAGCCAGCAATTGCAGCTGAAAATCTTTCCCAGTCAAAGTTTTTCTGATTCCTGCTGCAAGTGGCGCAACTGAATATCATTTCAACCAATTGATGATCCTTTAAGAACCGAGATTTGAGGCTTCTAACCACTTCCTGCTGTGATTTTGATAATCGTACCACATGTTCCACATCCCCAGGTTCTGCTTCAGATTGAGCATCTGGCAGGTCTGAAGCTTTCCAATGGTGAAATTGTACCGCCTAATAAGAGTTACTAATTAAATCAGGTGATTGATGCGATTTATAAAAATCTCTTTTCCTAAACAAATAGGGTTAAACTTTTGGTCAGTCAAGAGCACTCTATAAAAGCAGCGTTGCAGATGGGAAATGGTGAGATGTTAGGTAGTGCTGCATGAAATTATCAACATTAGCCATAATGTAAGCACATTCTTCAGATGAATTTCAATGGCAATGCACTCTAGAGACCTTATATCATGCCACAGCAAAAGACACTCCTGAATCAATAAGCTAAACAAATTCTGTTACAAATATTTTGTCCTATCAGATTAGGCATTTTGGCTCCTGGACAGAGGTGGCGTAGCAGGCATACCAGACTGTCCAAGATGCATGTGACCTCTAGACTTGCTACATTAAAAATTTTCCTCGTGATATCAACACCTAATTCTTTATGGGTTGCCTAATTCTAGAAGTACTTATATTTTCCTTGAAGCTAAACGTCATCGAGCCTGATGCCCTGATTATACCCTGATTCTAGATAAGGACCGAAACACAATGGCCAAAGCCCTATTCCATGCTGTATTGAGTATTGCATGTAAACCAAATTGATTGCAGCAAGATAATTGGGCCAAACTCATATGAAGCAAGCTATGGTGTCAAAGCGAAGCGAACAAGTGGTTACATTTGTGAAGTCACTGAATATTGATCGAGATTATTAAGCATCTGAAGCAGTGAAAATACCTGAAGTGCATGCAAAATGTTGACAAACTCCTGCTTAAACAACTCATTTCCCCTTACTAACTGCAGGGGCTCCATTAGTAGTTCTGTGGAATCTGAAAACAAGCCTTCTGCTTGACAAGAACAAATATCAAACCCAAGCACATGCATTCTTGCCAAGCATATATCAAATCCTAACTGTTGGTGGGATGCTGGATCCAGAGAAAACCAGTACATATTGCTGGATGCCAGCATAGGTAGCTTCAATTCAGGCATGTTTTTTGATAGAAGGGAAATGAGTTTTGCATCCTCATCATGGGCACTATCACGGCTAAACCACAGTGTAAGCGTAAGTCTCTCTCCTTCAATTATCTGTGAAAGGAAACCGAAGGCAAATAGCTTGGACTTTACTTGGCATAAATTGGTAGGAGAAGAAAAGACTACAGATTTGTAAAGAATAAATGCATATTGTTTTAGGAAACAATTAAAGCAAGTCCTAGCACAAACTAACGAAATACAAAGCGTCCTGGCACTGCAAGCCCACTTCATCATCGAGTACATTTAGTCCAACCTGGTCATCAGAATAAATCCCCAAGCTAGGAACTCAGTTTCTTTTTGTTGCAGCAAACATAATTTCATAACCAGTTGACCAGATGCATAAAGCATAGTATATTAAGCTTTTTTTTAATTACTGCATAAGTTATGTCTCAAACCAACATCACCAATAATTTTTCCTTTGCACTATCTGTGAATAGCAATCGATACTTTTTGTAAATTTATTTTGGTTCTTTTTCTGGCAACCCTATAGCAATACCCGCCGAACGCTTGATTCTAAAACCAAAATGAAAAGAGAACCCACATGCACAAGCCACAACATGCAAGTAATATCACTTCATTCTATGCATCCAGAATAATGAAACTACCACTGATCAAAATCAATCGGAACGATAAAGCTACACTAAAGGTGATTAAGTTGCAAGTACCATAGTAACATTAAAAAAAAAAAAATAGTGAAATAGAAAATGGAAAATGATACAGAACTTGTAGAGCCAGTGAAGCAAGTAAAAGCTAAAAAAGTATTTTTGTTGATAAAAATACTATTCCTTCCAGAAATAAATTTAAAAAGCAGTAAATTTGTCCAAGGGCATAAACTCCGGGATGATGAAGCAAAATGGAATAATCATCCACGTCTCATGAATCAAAGAAAAAATGATTTACCTCATCGACAGCATGAATATTGCAACTGTCAGCTGTATATATGGCAACATCCTGATAAAAAAAAAAAGATCAATGAAACAAAAATGACAAGAAACAAAACAATTGATCATCATCACAACAGTAGCCCTTACTCCGGCCATGGGAACAAGAGTAGCTGGTTCCCCATCCTGGAAGTGAAAAAGTCCGCCTTTGAAATCCTTTCCATAGCTATTCAAATAACACACTGCCTTTTCAATAAAAAAATTTACAAATACAACAAAAGCATGAAAAAAGGAATTGTCAGCACAGCTAACTTAACACATAAAATGCAAAGATTACATAGAAATAAATAAGATACCGTAAAGTGCCGTTGCTTGAGATAGGGCCTGTTATCATCACTGTGCCATCCAATGCTAGCTCCTCTACACCAGCTGATTTGATTTCCAATATATAATATATCAAAAAGCGGAGGATTAAAAACTAAAAGAAGGAAAAACAACACTAGTGTCCAATATAACTGAATTAAAAAAAATGAAAAAAAAAAACTAACCTAATTAAGCCAGTGAATTCGACGCAGAGCTCATACTCGCAGCCAAAAAAGTGTTCAACCTTTTCTTTCAGCCTCTCTCGGATGGGAACAAAAGGGATGAGAAAGGTAGAAGAATTGGTGGCTATGAGATGAGAAAGAGTGGTGGAGAACACGTTGGGCCTGTACCCAACTGTGCTGCTGCTTTTGTGTATGAATTCCAATTCCTAAAAAAACACAAATAAAAGAGACCCAATTCATGAATCAATAGCATTCGTTAGAGGGTGGGAAGGATTAGCAGTGACCCACCTTGCATTCTTCGCTGGTGAGAAAATTGTGAAGGATGAGACGCGGCGGCTTCAGGCTCCCTACTCCCATCTCCCTGCTTAGAAGCATCTTCAATGGGATGTACAGACCAAAAAAATTAATTGTTAAGAATGAAATATGACAGCCATATGTATGCTAAAATCCTTTTTATTAAAATGAACACTCACCGTGTGTTCTAAGGAAAGCCATCCCTGTTTTTCTAGTTTAAACTTGACCTTTTTCTTTCCCTATTTAATATAAAATACAAAATAACTTATTAGAATGTTATTTAAAAAAAAAACAAAATTACATTATTTAAAATACTATATTAACGATTTAACATTTTTTAACTTTGGAGATGCCCTTTAGCCCGCAGCAAAGCCTTCCGGACAGTTTCCGTCATCCTCACTTTCGTCCTCTTTTATTACTTGGATCCGGGTAACTACATATCACCACCCAATCTATATAGGCTTTTACAAATCAGTCCCCAAGTTATAAATTTTCTTCTTAATAATAACGAGGTGGGGTCCATAGACCACACTATTCAGGCAAAGGTCAGATAAATTTCAGACAGTTGTGTGATTAAAAACAGGCACGATTGCTTCCAGAACATTATCCATGAACTCGGCTAATGGTCACCAGACAGAGAAGAGGGAATTCTAACAAATGGGAAGCGCAACTGACTTGGAAGTATATCGTCACAAATTCGTGCTGCCGCTCCAAACACAGTGAGAAAAACCTTAAAAAATGCGTGAACCCGTAAATCAAGGTTAATAGAGCATGCACTAACTATTCTATTACACGATAGATCACGTTATGTTGTTGGGGGGTCATGAAAATCTATCTATGAGCAGGCAATTTTATTTCTGTGATTATCTT